TTTTTTGGGTCCGGTCGTGGGGCCTGAACTCTGGGCCTGGGCGCTGTCCCTCAGCTCTTCAGCTCAAGGCTAGCGCTCTACCACTTGAGCCATAGTACCACTTCCAGCTTTTTTTCTTTTTGCTTATGTGGTGCTGGGGAATCGAACCCAGGGCCTTGAGCATGCAAGGCAAGCGCTCTACCACTGAGCCACCTTCCCAGCCCCATTTCCAACATTTTTTATGACTTTGACCTCTTAAAGACCAGGGTTACTCACCAATACCCTCTTTTTTTGTTTTGTTGTGGTCCTGGGGCTTGACCTCAGAACCTGGGTGCTGTCTCTGAGTTCTTTTGCCCTAGAATAGTGCTCTACCACTTGAGCCACAGCTTCATTTCTGGCTTTTTGGAGATGAGTCTCATGGACTTTCCTGCCTGGGCTGGCTTCAAACGTCGATCCTCAGATCTCAGCCTCTTGAGAAGCTAGGATTACAGACATGAGCCACCAACTCCTGACTCCAACATCCCTTCTTATTTATCCATCTATTATCTGTGTAGACTCATGAATTACTTCTTTTCCCTGTAATTTATAGCTGTACCTAATTAATTTGATAATATTCTATTTGGATAGTTTTCAAAGCCCCTGTAAGCTGGTTTCTGTGTCCTATAGAGGTTCATTCTTTTTTTCTTTTTGTTTTTTTCCTTTAGAAAAAAAGACTGGCCTTGAACTTGTCATTTTTTCCTGCCTCAGTCTCCTTATTGCTGGGAATACAGGTGGATATCACCATCCCTAGCACATTCTTTTCTTTAAAGTTGCTTTAGTAGTACTTAAGTACTCAGGCATCCTAAGTCTTATACATATGTCCTAAGCCTTGGGATCAGCCATTTGTCAGAGGAGTCTGAGTTTCTGTTAATGGAGAATGGAAGTAGAAGTCAAATTCTGGATTCTGAGTCCTCATTTTCATGGATTATCTTTGCTTCTAAATCCTTTAGGTAGACAAATGTAAAAATTATATACATATTTATTCATAAATACACAACATATTTATAGACACATTTGTATGGAGGTGCATATCTGTTTATAGATAAGTATAGGAATCTTATTTCCACTACTTCTAAATTCATTTAGTCCTCTGATCTTCAGTATCTGTAATGTAATATTTGTATTTTCAATTAAGTTTACTTCTGTTCACTCTAAAAATGGGTATTTTTCCTTGTTCTTCGGAAGATAATAAGACCTTCAGGAAAGAACTCTTTATTTTCGATGTATGCTTCATTCTAGAGCTCCCTATCCACCTTGCTCTGCGTGGCCTTTTGGCGTTAGTCCTTGTTACCTATGGAACCCATCTCCTGCAGAGGAGAGTTAAACTGTCACGTGACTCATCAACAGCTGGAGTTTTTCATGCTCTAATCTGATACTTGCTGTTCACCTGTACACTGGGACCTGGGTCCCCAAGTTTTACCTATCAATTGTGATGGCCAATTTCTCCCAAATTGTTATTTCTCGAGATAATTAGATGAGGCAGAGACTGTTGATGAAAACTTAATTTACTGGTAGAGTCAAGTGTAACCAGGCCTTTGGTCCTCAGGACAGCCTGCCTTCCTCACTGCCTAATGCCTTTCACCTGTTACCTCCATTCAGAGGCCCTGCCAGCCTTGGGGCAGCACTATGCTTATTTACCAGGCAAGATGCTAAGAGTACTTCAAAACACCTTTGGAAAATCCTTAGCAATCTTTCACTTAAAGGATATTTTTCCCTCCTTTGGGGGGTCCTGCAGATCTGTCTTCAAAGGCAACAGGCACACCAAAGAAGAAAGCTGTGGTCCAGGCTAAGTTGACAAGCACTGGCCAAGTGGCATCCCCAGTGAAAGGCGCTGCAGTTACCACCAGTACCAACCCCCGGAAATTCTCTGGCTTCTCAGGTAAGATGTGGTAGAGCACATTAGCTGTTATTATCCTCCTGTGGGACTCTGTTTTAGCTAACCTCAATAAGTAGACAGTGATAGCTACTTCTCAGTATTCCACTTGGGAGACATCTCCTTGTACAGCTTCCGCTGTAGCAGGAAGATGTTTGTTAGGTCAAGACTTTGTCCCCTTGAAGTTATTAGCTGGGTCAAGCAGATTTTTATAACCTGCCCTTTACTTCCTTGTGTTTTGTAATGAATGTATTTTAAGAAGTTGTTTCCCTGAACTTGCCTGAGTGGAAGTGAAAGTGTGGGAGAGAAAGTCCATGTCATACATGGACCATATCCCTTCATTGCTCTTAGCTCCTGAAGCATATGTGCTCAGGTGATTGGAGTGTGTGGGGGACATACAGCAGGAAGGAAGGAAGAAAGTGAAGGCAGGTAATACAGGCTAGTGGTAGAGCATATGCACTTACCAGCCTCTGAATTCAAATCACAGCTCCTAAAGGGTATGTTATATCTCTTATTGGTATCTTTTTTTTTTTTTGGAGGGGGGTCCGGTTATGGGGCCTGATCTCTGGGCCTGGGCACTGCTCCTCAGTTCTTCAGCTCAAGGTTATCACTCTACCCCTTGTGCCACAGTCCCACTTCCGGCTTTTTCTGCTTATGTAGTGGTGAGGAATTGAACTCAGGGCCTCATGCACGCAAGGCAAGCACTCTACCACTGAGCCACCTTCCCAGCCCCCTCTTATTCGTACTTGGGAGGCTAGACAAACAGTGAAGAGTTAAGTTTTCTTTTTTTACTGCAGACATACTTATAATCATACACATACATGTATGGTACATGCTTCTTTTATATAGATAGTTATGTTTTTTGGTTTTGGTTTTGGGTTTTTTTGTTGGTCTTGGGGCCTGAACTCTGGGCCTGGGCGCCCGCATCCCTCTGCTCTTCAGCTCAAGGCTAGTGCTCTACCACTTGAGACACAGCGTCACTTCCAGCTTTTTCTGTTTATGTGGTGCTGAGGAATCGAACCCAAGGCCTCATGCATGTGAGGCAAGCACTCTACCACTGAGCCACCTTCCCAGCCCCGATAGTTATGGTTTTTTATAGACAGGTTTCAGGAAAACTTTTCCTAGAGTCTTTCTATGGACAGGAGTTGAGAAGATGGGGATCATTTGGGTAATAAAAAGCATTGGCCTGGGGCTTTTATTTGTTCTTCAGTTAACAAAAGGAAGTACTTACATTAGACCCATTTTATGAATGAGGAAGTCAAGCTTCAGGATCATAGTAGAGTTAGTTTTGCATTGACACCTATTTAACCCCAGTGCCTGTGTTCTTTTACTACATTCTGCTACTTGCTTTACTGTTTGAGTCATACCTGTGATTGACTCAGTTGAAGAAAATAATGAAAGTAAAACTTTGGACTCAAGTTGTTTGGGGAATTAAAGAGCTTTGGCCTTAAGTCAGAAGAATAAAGGCTTGGTGCCAGCACTAAAGCTTGACAGCTTGAAGCTGGGAGCAAGTCTTCACCTGTCTGAATCTTGTGACTTCATCTGTGAGTCAAGGTGGCACCATCTGCCTTACCTTCCCATGTTCTCAGGAGGACTGAGGGAGACAACATCCAAAAACGAAGCCTGACTGTGGAGAATTTTTATTGTTCTAATCTAATGAATTTGTTTTATTATATTTAAACAAGGCCTTAAAAATATATTATTAATTTTTTGGTACTGGGGATTGAATTCTTGGCTTCAAGCTTGTCAGGCGAGTATAAGGCCACTTGAGGCATATCCAAGTCCTTCTTAATTTTAGCTTGTTTTTTAGGTAGGGTCTCATGCTTTTCCTTGGATGGTTCTTCCCATGGTCCTTCTGCCTCCCCTCCTGAGTAGTTGGTATTACAGGTATGATTATACCCGGCCATTCCATTTTGAGAGAGTCTCAGCTAACTTTGGTTAAGATTGACCTCAAACAGTCCTCTTGACTCTGTTTTCTGAGTAGCTATAGTATAGGTGTGCAGCAATTTTTATTTCTAAACTCTGGGGCTTATTTGTTGTCTAATAGTAGGCCAAAGAGAGTTAAAAAAAAAAAAAGCCCAGGTGATAATAAGATAAGCATGATTCTGGAAAATCATTGGCCTTGGGGTTGGAATTTGGAAGAGTTGAGAGGAACATACCACTTTATTCTTGTAACCTGGCTGAACACTGTTGCTTGGAAACTTTGTCCTCTAAGATCTGATTTACACTCCAGGTCAGAGGTGATAATGGGTTTATAATTTATAAGGCCCAGACAAGCTTGTATCAGCAGCCAGATTGCTAATGGCTCTGCTTTTGCTTTGTAAATGGCCACAGAGAGGTGAAGAACTCACTACAGTTATACATAATTAGTTTTAAGCATCTGGAAAAATCCTGCTTGTTATCTACCTTTTATTTTGACTATAGAAAGCTTGGAATGGGGAGGGACAGGAATGTTGGGAATATACCAGAGACACCTGACTATCCTTGGCATCCTTGTCCTGGCTCTGCCACCAAAAAAGTGTGTGATCCTGCAGGTCGTCTGTTCCTGTTTGTGGGTTTTCTTGTCAGGAAGAGAACAGAACTTGATAGCTGTGCTATCCATGATAGTAGTACCCTCACATCAAATAACATATCATTTGATTTCTTCCTCTTTTCTCATCCCAGCTTCACAATTGCTCTGGGATACAGCTAACCACTTTTGACATACATTGAGTCTTGTTCCTCTATAAAGCAGACACACAAACAGGTATACTTCAGTCTGGTCTTCAAACTATGAGATTTTGTGAAATTACTGGACCTCATTGGCTTTTATTTTTTTTTTTGGCAGAGGTGAGAGACCAAACTCAGGGCCTGGCACTTGCCATGCAAGTGCTCTTCCACTGAGCTAAATCCCAACCTCCATTGCTTTCTTTTTGTTTTTGTGGCCCTGGGGTTTGAACTCAAGGCCTCACTCATGCTAATCCTGTCCTCTACCACTTGCGCTCTATCTCCAGCTGACTCCATGTCTTCTTCTTTCTTTCTTTTATCTCTCTCTCTCTCTCTCTCTCTTTCTTTCTTGTAATTGTTTGCTTACAGTTACGTAAGTCAGGTAAAGAGTACATTTTTGGTTGTTTTGTTTTTTGGTGGTTGTGGGGCTTAAACTCAGGACCTGGGTACTGTCTCAGAGCCTCTTTACCACTTGAGCCACAGCGCCACTTCTGGCTTTTTCTGAGTAGTTTATTGGAGATAGGAGTCACATGTACTCTCCTTTCCAGGCTGTCTTTGAACCACAATTCTCAGATCTCAGCCTCTTGGCAAGAGTGCATTTCTTTTTGGACAGTGTCACTCCTTCCCTCTCCCAGTTTTTCCCTTCTGTCTTCACTCATAAATTGTATAGTTCTTTTTTTTTTTTTTTGGTTGGTCATGGGCTTGAACTCTGGGCACTGTTCCTGAGCTCTTCAGCTCAAAGTGAGCAGTCTACCACTTGAACCACAGCATCAATTCCAGTTTTCTTGTGGTTAATTGGAGATAAGAGTCTCATAGACTTTCCTGCCTGGGCTGGCTTCGAACTGCGATCCTCAGATCTCAGCCTCCTGAGTATGTAGGATTATAGGCGTGAACCACTGGTACCCAGATGTATAGTTCTTTTTTTTTTTTTTTTGAGGGTCCGGTCGTGGGGCCTGAACTCTGGGCCTGGGCGCTGTCCCTCAGCGCTTTTTTATTTTTGCTTATGTGGTGCTGAGGAATCAAACCCAGGGCCTCATGCATACAAGGCAAGCGCTCTAACATTGAGCCACCTTCCCAGCCCCGTATAGTTCATTTTTAACATGACTCATTTCTTTACCTGTATTGTGGATGCTGTGATATTACTCCCAAAGTAGAGTACATGCAAAGGAGAAGCAGAATATTGATTGTTAGTTTTATTCCTTCCCAGAAAAGCAAAATCATCTCTCTCTCTCTCCAACAGCTAAGCCCAACAACTCTGAGCAAGACCCCTCGAACCCTACTACTAAGACAAGCCTGTCTTCAAGCAGATGTGACCCCAAGCACAAAGATTGTCTGTTAAGGGAGTTTCGGAAGCTGTGTGCCATGGTGGCTGACAATCCTAGCTACAACACAAAGACCCAGATCATCCAGGACTTCTTACGGAAAGGCTCAGCAGGAGGTGAAGCCAGGAGCATCCTGGATGGGTTTGGCTGGCTTCCAGGGCATAGGAGCATTTACAGGGACCTACGATTATTTTAATCCTCTTCTATTATCTTGAATTGTTAATTTTGAACAGTTGGGCCCCTATATGGTTTGTCACCAGACCCCACAAATAATAATGTAGCCAGTTCTACTTAGTACTTTAGCATTTTTCCCTCAACAGGCCAGAAGAACCCACCCACTGACTAGTAGGAAAATTTAGTGCATATATATATATAATAGATTCAGTTCTTGTGAATCTCATGCACATTTGGAATAGAATATCCCATCCAAATATTTCTTATTCATCTGACAACCTTTTTTAAAAAAAATATCTTTAAGTAGTTGTAATACTAAGCTTCTTTGTTGTTTTTGTTTTGTTTGATTTTTTTGCCAGTCCTGGGGCTTGAACTCAGGGCCTGGACATTGTCCCTGAGCTTCTTTTACAAGGCCACATTCCCAACCCTCATCTAATAACTTGTTACTGAGCATTTGGAATGTGCTTGTTTGTCACTGGGGACTTGGGTCTGCCCAGAGGAATTTTTCCATACACCCAATGTGAGGCCAGCAACCACCAAAGTCTACTGTACTGAGTTGGGCAGAGTACTGTGGGAACATAAGCCATGACAGGTCTCTCTCGGTCTATGCTTCAAGTTTGTATGTTTACTTGTTCAAGCTCTATTTCTCAAAAAGACTTGCTTTCTTCTGTCTCCAGATGGCTTCCACGGGGATGTGTACCTAACAGTGAAGCTGTTGCTGCCTGGTGTCATTAAGAGTGTTTACAACTTGAATGATAAGCAGATTGTAAAGCTTTTCAGCCGCATTTTTAACTGCAACCCAGATGATATGGCACGGGACCTAGAACAGGTCAGAGGGAGGGCAAGACAGGCCACATTTCGGGTGGGGTTCTGCCAAGCCAGGTACCTGCAGCCATTTTTTTTTAAATGATTGTCACACACTGTTTTAGGAAACTAAAACTTACTTAAGCAAGTTTCTGTTGGGGGAGTAGCTGAATGTGGGTCTAAGTTAATTTGATAAATGTTTGAAGAGAAGTCTAACCACTCCAGGTCACCTTTTAAAAGGACCTATCTCAAAAGTCAGAATTTAAGACTTCCTTTTCTCTCTTGGGGTTCTAATTCTGGAGTCTGATCTGATGTCTTTTAGTTCAAATTCCTAAACAGGAATTACACTGGCTTAGCCCTGGATTATTTCTCTGCTCAGCTAAGGCTGGTGGAAAGATCCTATGTAGCTAGCCAGGTCTCTTCTAGGTGCTCAGTGGGCAGGTATGTTGAGCTATGATTGAAATCTCTTGATTCATCTTCAGTTCTGAGGTTAGGGGGATACATTTGAACCTCCTGGGGTTGCAGCAGTGGCATTTTGGTTTTTGGAGACAGGGTGACGTGTCAGAGACGATCAGAGTCTTCTTTGAGCAGAGCAAGTCTTTTCCCCCAGCTTCCAAGAGCCTTCTCACCATCCAGGAAGTGGATGAATTCCTCCTGCTGCTCTCCAGGCTCACCAAGGAGGATGAGCAGCAGCAGGCCCTGCAGGATATTGCCTCCAGGTGCGGGAGCTGCCCCAGGCCAGCCACACCCACTGGGGGTGAGCCTGAGGAGTGATATCACTTGGGAAGGAAGGTTGAGGTGCAGAGTTCTTCAGAGATAAGGTTAACTATGTGTTATCTCTTTAGGTGCACAGGTAATGACCTCAAATGCATCATCAGGCTGATCAAACACGATCTGAAGATGAACTCGGGTGCAAAACATGTGTAAGTAACTGCTCTTCGGACAGCCTGAGTCATTGACTTCCCTTGTTCCAGATAAGACTTGAGTCCTCATTCTACTTAGTTACTTTCTATAATCCTGTCTCCACCTCCCTTTTCTCACACGGCTATTGAAAATTTGGAATTTGTTTAGAATATAGAGTGGTTCTCTTGCCTCTTCTAACCCCCTTCTCTGCTAAGGCTACATCCACACAGGCACAGGGTTTCAAAAGTCTGGGTTTTCTGAGTTTTTTCCTCCCATGAAAGTCTTTTTTTTTTTTTTTTTGGTTGATCATGAGGCTTGAATTCAACCCCTAAGCGCTTTTGCTCAAAGCTAGCACTCTACCACTTTGAGCTATAGCTCCACTTTCATTTTTCTGGTGGTTAATTGGGGATAAGAGTCTCAAGGACTTTCCTGTCCAGGATACTTCTGAACCTTGATCCTCAGATCTCAGCCTCCTGAGTAGCTAGTATTACAGACATGAGCCACTAGTGCCCAGCTTCATGAAAGTCTAAAGACAGTAAACATACTATTTCCCTATAGATTAGACTTTCTCCTCTCTCAAGGGTAGACTGCTATCCAAAGCCATAATATCAAATGCAGACATTTGTTTCCTTGCTTCTGTCCCCTGGCAGGTTAGATGCTCTGGATCCCAATGCCTATGAAGCCTTCAAAGCCTCACGTAACCTGCAAGATGTGGTGGAGCGGGTCCTGCTCAATGAGCAGGAGGTGGAAAAGGAGCCAGGCCAGAGACGGGCCCTGAGTGTTCAGGCCTCACTAATGACACCTGTGCAGCCCATGCTGGTGAGAAAGAAACACTTCCCTGTCCCAACCTTGCTGCCCGCCTCTCTCTACCTGGCCTGTCCCTTGGGGAGATAACTGCTGCAGTCTGACAAGGGGATGAGGGGGCAAGAGAAAGGGAGAACAAGATGCAGCGGATTGCTAAGTGGGGCAGTGAAGACACTGGGAAAAAAATGACCAAGTATAATAACCTAAATCTAGTTCTCAGCTTTGCCACCAAAAACCTGTACAATCTTAGATGAGTTGCTCAGCTTCTCTTGGTCTTTAGTTTCCTTGTGGAAATGGATGAGACTCCCTGAAGCATCTGCTAAAATGGTTTGTCATCTTACCTAAACACGGAGATGTGTTTGGGAGCTTCTGAAGTTCTAGGACCTGCTCATAGCAACTAAGATAGCTCATAGTTGGCAGAGCCAGGCTTCCTACAACAGAGTAACTGAGGAAGGAAGAAGAAGCTTAAAGAATGAAAATTCACTTGGACAGAAATAACTTCAGTCTCTCCATTTCATAAGAAAGGGGATTTCCTTTCAGATATTTGTTTTCCTATGTGACACAGCCCACTGCATGGGCTACCATGCGTGCCTGCCTGAGGCCCTTAGGGTTTTCTGCTGCTGGATGGTGCTTTTCAGGGTTTTTGTCTTGTGTGTTAGAGGATCCTTGTTCTTTCCCAGTTAGGCACGTGGGACAGTCATTGCTGAAGTGGGAGGTGAACTGTCCATTCCAGAGATAAGCCTTCAGTTACCTGAAGAAGAGGCCTGTCTGACTGTGGAAGAGTTCTTACTGGAGTCTGTTCAACAGGCTGTCATTTGAAAAATGGCATAGGTTATATAGCTTTGTGGTTTAACATATAGGCCTTGAAAGTAAACCTGTATTCAAATCTTGTTCATGTTAGTTATTAGTATCCCTAGCTGTGTAACCTTAAGTGCTTAACTTCTTGGACCTTCAGTTTTCTTATCAAGAAAATGGAAACATCGATATCACATCAAAGATGAAATGAGAGAGCCAAGTATGTTGGTGTACTTCTATAATCCTAGCACTTGGAATTGAGATAGGAGGATTATGGGTTTGGGACCAGCCTAGGCTCATAGCAAGACCCTGTCTCAAAACAACGGTAGCAAAAAAAAAAAAAAAAAAAGATTGTGTATGTGATCTGACAAGAACCCCAAACATAGCAGCAGCTAATTGTTTGAGTCAGGTGACAGCCATATGTGCATAAGCGCCCTTGTATCTGGACGGCCTGTCTTATCCACCTCTGACTTTGGTCACCCTGACAGCCTGACCTCTGCCCTCTTTATCTTACCTCCCCAAATCTCTTGTGCTCATGGGTTTACTATCAAGCCATATTCCTGCAAGAGCCTCAATTGTTGAGAACAATTTAAGTCCTATTTCAGTGGAATTTTATTTGCTTTACAGTATAGCATTTTCATCTTCCTCAAAGAGCAAGCTCCTGACAATCCTGATAGAATTGTAGAGAATTCATTGTCCTACGCTTTCCATTCCCATCACCCCTTTAACATCCTCCCATGAGCATAAACTATGGGCAGCAAGTCCCACATTCACATCTTAATCAGCCCAGCTCTGGGGATCAGCAGTCCTCATTAGAAGCCTTCAACCTTTGCCAGCTGCCAGTGGCTCATGCTTATGATCCTAGCTACTCAGAAGGCTGAGATCTGAGGATCGTAGTTCAAAACCAGCCCAGGCAGAAAAATCTGTGAGACCCTGGTCTCAACTAAACTACTAAAAAAGCTGAAAGTGGAGCTATGGCTTAAAGTAGTAGAGTGCTAGCCTTGAGCAAAAAAAGCTCAGGAACAACACCAAGGCCCTGAGTTCAAGCTCTAGGACCAAAAAAAAAAAACCAAAAAAGTCTTCAGCATTCAGCCTTTGCTTTCCCTACCCCAAGGCTGAGGCCTGCAAGTCCATCGAGTATGCAATGAAGAAATGTCCCAACGGCATGTTCTCTGAGATCAAGTATGACGGGGAACGAGTCCAGGTCCATAAGGATGGAGACCACTTCAGCTACTTCAGCCGCAGTCTCAAACCTGTCCTGCCTCATAAGGTATTATCCTACCCACCAGCTCTGCCTTTCCCCTGACTCTCACTAAATCAACAGTTCCACACCCCTTCCAGCTCTGGTTTGTAATAGGGAATTAATTTGTTAGTTGTCAAATGGATAAATTCATTTCTAGAGTCTTCTAATAAAGGACTGCTCAGCAGGGGCAGCTCGGAAGTGTAGACATGGGTTAATCTGGACAAAGCTCCCAGATACCTATTTCATTGTGCTTTTGGGACAGTGAGCTCATTTGATCAGATGCTGTGCAGACCTTTGCTGTTTCCTTGTCCATGTTATCCCTCTAGATAAAGGTTTATGCATAGGGAATGTTGGCCTCTTGTTCATTAGTTTGGTCAACACAGTTATCAAATGCTATATGCACTGTTATAGCTAGTTGGGCATATCACTAAAAAAGAAATGGACAGAAGTTCTGGCCTTCAGGAAGTTTTTAGTGTGCTATAAACACAATGCCTTCGGGACATCTGTGAGCCTGGTTCCTGCTCTACCAGTATAGGGGTGAGAACCTCAATCCTCAGCTCCCAGGGCCACACCTTAGAAATAACCTCAGGGAAAGCAGCTAAAATATCTAGGTCAAGTAACCTGTGAGTAAATGGCATTCTTGCCGTTTTTACTCCTTTTTATTGTAGCTCTGACTCAGTTTGTCCAAGTCCCAGGGTCAAGAGAATCTGGTTTTGTGGTGCACTAGCGATGAAGGTTCCAGCCACTGGTTCCAGGTGTTAAGAGAGCTGTGTAGTCGCCTCACGGAGCTTTAGTGCTGCTAGTTCACTTGTTCTGTGGGGCACTGTGAAACTGCTTGGGAACTATTCTGTTGGGATTGACAGCATTTAGCCACCTCTTGTGACCCAGGAAGCTTCCTTAGCAATGCTTTCCAGCATTTATCCTTTACCAAAATTTTTTCATCCTCTTGCCTTTCCAGTGCCCTTGCTTCTTAAAAAGTTGGGCAGGCCAAGTGCCAGTGGCTCACACCTGTAATCCTAGTTACTCAGTAGGATGAGATCTGAGGATCACGGTTCAAAGCCACCTCAGGAAAGTCCGTGAGACTCTCCAATAAACCACTCACAAAACCAGAGTGGCACTGTGGCTCAAGTGGTAGAGTGCTAGCCTTGTGCTGAAGAGCTGAGGGACAGCACCCAGGCCCAGAGTTCAAGCCCCATGACTGACCAAAAAAAGTTGGGTAAGTGAGGAGTGGCATGGATGGGCAGGCCTTTCTCCATCCTGCTGCAAGTGTCCTGGGCAGTGAGCACCTATGTGCCTCTCCTAGGTGAGAATCTGGGCCACAGTTGGGCCATCTGGACCCCACTGCTGGAATCATTTGGCAGGGACTCTGGTGTTGTAGTGGCATCTCTGTTGAGCAGAAGATTAAGTAGCTCTCCCTTTATCTGGAAAAATCCAATTCCAAACAACTTCTTTTATTCTGAGGATGGCTGAGGATTCAGAAGTCTTTTTCGAGAAGGCCTTACTCACATTGCCTTCCTCTTCCTGAGGGGTTCATCTCTTTTCTGTTTCCTTTCCAACCAGCCTGTTCTCCCTTTTCCTTTAACCTATAACACCTCTCCCTCCCACATTTGTCTAACCTTCCTCTCCATATCCTTCCCTACATGCTCACAGTTTCTTTCTTCCTTTTCTCCCTCACTGTGCCTCTCCACAGCCCATAGAAAGTGACCAGCCATGAACTGACCTCTTCCTGGGTCTGGACAGTGTTCTAAAGTAGATATCCAAGGCCCACACAAGATGTGTTTTCCACATGAGCTCAGCCACAGAACATTGCAGAACTTTCTGGGGTCCATTTTGATCTCCATGGATTGTTCATCTCTCACCAGACCTCCTTTCCTTCCAGGTTGCCCACTTCAAGGACTACATCCCCTTGGCTTTTCCTGGGGGCCACAGCATGATCTTGGACTCAGAGGTGCTCCTGATTGACAACCAAACAGGCAAACCACTACCCTTTGGGACTCTGGGAGTGCACAAGGTACTAGCTCAGCATATGTGTGTAAAATGAATGATTATACATTAACTATCAGTCTGAAAAGGGAAGAATGTATAACTTAGGGTGTGGCTTATTCCTTTTATCCTTTTTAAAAAGATCAGAAAAAAGAAGCTATTAGGAACTTAGAATTGAGTTGGTTTCCATGTGGAACTGTGTTAGGTTTCTGTCACTATTACAGAATAACCTGAAATGGCTAACTTATAAAGAAAAAGGTCTACCTTGACTCATGGTTCTATAGGTTCTAGTCTAAGATTAATGGGGCTCATTGCTTTGATCTAACAAGGCAGTGCATTATGGCTGGAGCATATGGCATATGGTGAAACTTCAAATGTCAACACCAAAAAATTTTAAATTCCGTACATACATACATGAGCCTGAGTGATGTAGAGAAGCTTACTCTTAGCTCCTTGTTATGTTACATCTGCTATTTCCCTGTCCTGAATATTGTGAAAATCTGCCTCACAGAAAGTAGACAGTGCCCCCAAAGCAAAGGTAAAAGTTAACATATTTAAGTGATAAAGTGCAAATTTGAAATTTGTTGAAAAGTGGCACCATGTCTTTAGAGGAAGTTGGGTGTCATGGGAAATAAATGAGCCAAATCTCTGCAGCATAGCAGAGCCCTGTGCTTCCTGAGCATTTGAGGTTTCTCCTTAATGACAGCCTTCTTGGAACCACCTGCTCACCAGTGCCAGAGGTCTACTAAATAGCAAGCATTACTTGCAAGTGCCTTTGTGGCCCAGGTGCTTATGACACAGATAGACTTCCATCCAAGCCTCCCCTTTTTTCATGCACTCTGTGTACTCATTGCCTTGTTTTCCTTTACAGAAAGCTGCCTTCCAAGATGCTAATGTCTGCCTGTTTGTTTTTGACTGTATCTATTTTAATGATGTCAGCTTGATGGACAGGTGAGTTGCACAGCATGGGGGGTGAGGGGCAGGGCTGGGGATTGAATTCAAGACTTCCCCTGTGCTAAATACAGTCTATCATAGAGCTACCTTCCTCTGCATTTCCACCCCTGCATCCAGTCCTGCCTAGTATCTTTAAGCCAAGAAACCTGTTTAAAGTTTCTAGATTGTGAGTATAGGGGGTTTCATTTGGGAAAGAGGGAAGGGGAGGCGCAAACATAGGCTTTTGTGTCCATGAGCACAGGTACAGTTGCTACAAGTCAATTCCCCATTCATCGAGAGGAAAAGGCCAATCTTTGAGAGCTTAAATCTTGGAGAAACCCAAGTCCCCAACAAAGTCTGCTAAAGCACAATGGACTGTTGAAAACAGATAGCTTGTGAGCAAAGTAGGGTCTTCTGTTTTCCTACAGTAACACCTGTGTGATCATAAGACAAATGCTTTTTAGTCAAGGGGTTTGACTTCAGAGTAGGCACCTACAGAAAGCTCCTGATGGTGGGGCTGTCTTGGGAGAGAGCTGGCAGTCTTGGATGAACTACATCCAAAGGTTTGACTCAAGCAGCTGGTACTGGCCATTTCCCTACTTAGACATGTCTCCTTACCTTCACTTCACTCCTACAGATTGTGGAAGTAGAAAAAGAACACATGGGGCTGAAAATGGGATTTGGCCCCTCTCGGCCTGCTGACAAAAACTAGCCAGCCTTGGTGTTGTGGTGAACTTAACAGTCCTTTTTCAAGCAGGACCAGAATCCACACTGTGGGCTAGCGGCCAGTTGTCCCTTGGTGCAGTAAAGAAGTAAATATGAACTGGCGGTGTGCCACAGCTCAGTTTTCCATCTTCAATGTGATGGAGCCCCGACAGCAGAGCTGTTACACAGGGGAGCTTAGTCCACGCAGACCTCCTGAAGTAGCACTTTTGTCATTGCTTCCCACTCAGGCCTCTCTGTGAGCGGAGGAAGTTTCTTCATGACAACATGGTTGAAATTCCTAACCGGATCATGTTCTCAGAAATGAAGCGAGTCACAGTAAGTGAAGACCCTACCCTGGGCAAAGGACTCCTTGGGTTTAGATTGAGATAGTGGTGACTCTCACAAGGGCTGCTGATTTAGACAACACATGTGTATGTTACCTGCCCTGTTTCTCAAAGCCATAGCAGCTGTTCATATCAAAGCTAGTATTTTTAGTGGGCTCTTCTCTAGTGTGCAAGCCACCTTCTCTGTTCTCACATCAACCTCAAAATCTCTCCTGTTGTCTTCAGAAAGCCTCTGACTTGGCCGACATGATCAACCGGGTGATTCGGGAAGGGCTGGAAGGGCTAGTGCTGAAGGATGTGAAGGTAAGATGGCCACATCTTTTGCTTTGTCCTGCTCTTGTCCTTTGCCCTCTGCTTTTCCCATCCTGGCCAGGAGATGGCAGTGGCATCTGTGGTGGCTGGGGGTAGAAGCTGACAGGGAGCCTTTCTAGGGCTGGACCAGGGGTATCCTGGATCAGGAGGATGGGTTTGTATGGCTCAGTGGATCCAGGACACAGCAGTATACATGCAAGCTCACCCTCATGGAATGTGTGTTCTAATTAGGTCTCTCTCTCTTGCATTCCTTCAGGGCACATATGAACCTGGAAAGCGGCATTGGCTAAAAGTGAAGAAAGACTATTTGAATGAGGGGGCGATGGCCGACACAGCTGACCTAGTGGTTCTTGGGGCCTTCTATGGGCAGGGGAGCAAAGGTCAGTGACATCTGTCCCTGCAGTGGTACTCCAGAAAGTAGATGTGAAAACAGGCTGGCCTTCTGCTAGCTTGATCTGACAGCATGGAGTTGTGACTTCCCAGGCCCTAGCATCTGAGGCCCAACCTAGTCCCAAGTCACCTGAGACAGGGACATCTATAGGCTCCGGAACAGAGAAGGTAGGTACAAATGTCTGGTGCTGTCCTAAACAAGGAAGTGTTCCCCACAACGTGTTCCTAGGACCTGACATCTTTCATTTTGGGGAGAATCTCCTGACTGGAGATGATACTAGGTCTGAAGATCTAGTATTTTCAAATAATCAACCATGTTCCAGGCACTGTCAAAATCACACAGGAAATGTAGTTCAGAAGTAGAGTACTTGCCTGCCTAGCATGTGCAAAAACCTAGGCTCAGTCCTAGGACAGCAAACCAAAGGAATCAGCTAATAAAGAGGTAGACCCAAGAGATGAACTCTGGCACTCAGATGTCAAGTGCCAGACCTTTCCTCTGGCCATACTTCATTCCTCTCCCCTCGCAGGTGGCATGATGTCCATCTTCCTCATGGGATGCTATGACCCTAGCAGCCAGAAGTGGTGTACTGTCACTAAGTGTGCAGGAGGCCATGATGATGCCACACTTGCCCGCCTGCAGAAGGAGCTAGACATGGTGAAGATCAGCAAGGTGAGACAGGGACCTGGTGGACCCTGGTCCTGTCATTCAGCAGCTTCATTTAGGGGACTACAGATACTTGTCTCACTAGAAGGGAGAGGTCTGTTGGCTGTGGGAGGAGGATTAGACCTCTGAGTCTTAGTATCAGCTTTGTGGATAGTGATCCACAGCAGTGTCCAGTAGGCCACAGCAACTCCAGGCAAAAGGATCATATTGGAAGGGTCAGCATTTTTAGTCAGGTAACATGTCACAGTCCCATTGCCATAAGAGGTTTTTGACCTCCTTTGGAGAACAGCTCTAAAAAGTGTCTTTTCTTCTCTAGGATCCGAGCAAAATACCCAGCTGGCTGAAGATCAACAAGATCTACTATCCTGACTTCATTGTTCCAGACCCAAAGGTAACAACCCTATGGCCTGTGGTTTCTAGATTAGTTGGCAAGTTTTATTATACCACAGAAAAGTTATCCTAACCTCACTGAACATCCACCCAGAGTGTGTGTGTGGGGGGGGGGGGTTGGATAATTCAGCCATATGGCAGGCTTCAGGCTGATGATCTGGCACTGAGGAATCCCCAATAGAATGTACCCATTCCTGTGTCACAGAAGGCCTGCACTTGGAAGGGACTGGTTACAGGACTAAGACATGAACCTCCTAGAGCTGCTGCTTTAACAGCCATTGTGTTAATTACAGCTGGTAGGCAGTGTTTCCTTCTTAGCCAGAGATGACTTGCCTGCTTTACTCCTGATAGAAAGCTGCAGTGTGGGAGATCACAGGGGCAGAATTCTCCAAAGCCGAGGCTCACACAGCAGATGGGATCTCCATCCGATTCCCTCGCTGCACCCGGATCCGGGATGACAAGGACTGGAAGTCTGCCACTAACCTCCCCCAACTCAAGGTTTGAGCCAGCTGTTAGCTTGCCTATGTGTCCTACACCCCACTGGCCCTGGACATCTGACTTCTCCTTTCCCCTATCCAATGGAGACAGCAAGGGCAGGCAGTTAAGAGGGGGACCAAACTGGTATTACGCCAGAGGCTGTGGCAAGAGGTGTTCTCCCACCAGCTTGCGTTTATCAGCCCTTGGGCTAGCCATACCTATGGCACAGGAAGCCTCCTTATGAGGGATTGCCCTCATAAGAACTGAGGTCCAGTTAGGCATGGTGGCATATACCTATAATAATGACAATCAGTTGACTAAGACAGGAGAATCTCAAGTTCAGGGCCATCCCTGGTTACATGAGATATGTGCCATGGTTCAAACCTAAATTCCTAAGCCACTGTGATCAAAGGATCATAGTTTGAGGACAGCCCAGGCAAAATAAATGTTGACACTTCAGCTTAATCAATGTTTGGGTACAGTGCACATGCCTATCCTTATACCCAGGCAGAGGATAAATAGGATTACAGTCCAAGCTGGCCTGGGCATAAATTGGGATACTGCCTCAAAAAATAACCAATCCAAAAAGGCATTGGCAGAGTGGCTTAAGTGGCACAGCACCTATCTAGCAAAAGCTAGGCCTCAGTTCAAATCCCAATTCCACAAAACAGTAACCCTAGGATCTAGAGGAGATTCACCTTCTGGTTACACTCAAGTTAACTGGGGCTTGCACCAAGGAAGTCAACTCTGTTTTTCCCTGGTCTTTTTCTCACTTTTTTTTGGTGCCTGGGCACCATATCCCTTAGCTTCTGTACTCAAGGCTAGCACTCTACCATTTGAACCACAGTTCCACTTTGAATGTTTTCCTTCCTGGCTGGCTTTGAACCCTGATCCTCAGATCTCAGCCTCCTGTGTAGTGAGGATTATAGCAGTGAGCTGTCAGTGCCAAATATCTCTCTGACCTCTTTGTTCCCAGCTACTTGTGTCTAAAACAGGCCCTCCCACACTGTGAGGGCAGTCTGGGAAGGGAATGGTAACACACCCAATATTCTCTTCTTAGGAACTCTATCAGCTGTCCAAGGAGAGGGCAGACTTCACTGTAGTGGCTGGAGATGAGGGGAGCTCCACTACAGGAGGCAGCAGTGGCGAGAATGAGGGCACCTCTGGGTCTGCTGCATCCCGCACGACTCCCAAAGGCTCCCCCAAAAAGCCCTCTACCAGTGCCAGGAAGGCTGAAGGGAAACTGAATAACCCCAGCAGCAAAAATGGTAAGGAAAGGGGCAATGTAAAGTGGGAGGTAGAGGCAGAGACTGGAGGCAAGAGTAGGACCTAGTGTCACATTCTAGCTCAGACCATGTGATCATTCCTGGTGTGTCTAGCTACAAGCAGAATCTTCTGCTAGGTGACAGCTTTTCCTCCTTCTCAGCCATGCTTACAGCAAGGAAGGACCTGGGCTCCTTTTGCCCCAAATTTCAGGGATCCTTATTGGCAGTCCTTATCCTCTAGTTACCGTGCACTCTCTCCTGTAGGCAACAGGCCCGCTACAAAGCCTTCCCCTGTGAAATTGGGAGCAAATCCATCCCTAAAGTTTTCTCCAGTGAAAGTAGGGGAGAAGAGGAAAGCTACTGATGAGACCCCATGCCAAACAAAGGTGAAGGTAAGAGCAGTAGTACACAGGCAGGCCCAGGGCTCGGGGGATACTAGCTAAAGTCCTTCCCTCATACAGCTACTTCTCTAATACAGGCAAGTAGGCCAGCAGTGCTGCTCCTCCACCCTGTGCCTTCTTGTTGCCTTGCAGAGGTGCCCCGCCAGCCAGCAGCGAGGAAGGAGAGCTGTGCCAGCAGGCAGGAGATAGAACCTGGCCTACCAGGAGAGGCTTTGGGGTCTACCCAGCTGTCAGCCCCAAGTCACAGTATACATAAAGTGAAGAAAGCTGAGTCTGGGTGTGGGGTACAGCAGTGTGAAACTCAGAATGGGAGCAAGCATTCCCGCAAGGAGAGCGAGCACATGCTGGTGTGGCAACTCTTGAGAAACCTTTTTTTCTACTTTTCATTCTTCGATTTAGCACCTACTGAAACCAGGAACTAAGTTAATATTAGCTTCCCCAGGGAGCTGCTAGCCCATAAGGTTGATGGAAGTAAACGTCACTGCATGAGGACAACACCCCCCACTCTAAGATTACTAGCACAGCAGCGTGATGACTCTGGGTCTGAGCCCAGTTCCCAGCAGACCAGTGGAAACCATTTCCAATTCTCTTCCTCTCCTTGAACTTATCCCCAGTGATGAGTGGGACTCCTAGGCCCTCAGTCCAGCTAGCCGGGCAGAACGTATTGTCTTCAAGGATAGCACTGAGTCAAGGGCACTAGGTCTTAGCACCACTGGATAAGAGACATGTCCTTTTCTAGGTCCAGGTCCCAAACGTTAAGGTACATCCTCTCCTTTTCTGCTAAATGGGAATGAAGGAGGGTATCAGTTCCAGGCTACTTGGAGAGACTGGAGAAAGAGGGTATCCATGTCTGCAACTTTTCTCCAGTAAAAGCTGCTATGTCCTAGTCCCTCAGCACCCTCCACTTCTGGCTTTCTAATCTTTCTGTCCTGTGCTCGTGTGGGGAGACCCCCACATCAACCCCTACCTGGATCCCTCTGCATTTGCAGGTGCTACTGGACATCTTCACTGGGGTGCGGCTCTATTTGCCACCCTCCACACCAGACTTCAGTCGTCTCCGGCGCTACTTTGTGGCATTCGACGGGGACCTGGTACAGGAATTTGACATAGCCTCCGCCACACATGTGCTGGGTAGTGGGGACAAGAACTGCAAAGCCCATGTGGTCTCCCCAGAGTGGATTTGGGCATGTATCCGGAAACGGAGGCTGGTAGCTCCCTGCTAGGACTGTGCTCTTTCCTCTCCCTTAGGCCTTCCTCTTCCACTGGGCAGCCTAAGGCTCAGGCTGGAGGCAGGTAGATGGGGAGCAGAGGGGGTGGGCTTTCTTCAGTGCATCTTCCAAAGCCCTCCAGCAGCTCTTCATGGTCTCTAGGACCAGGAATTAGTTGTCGGGGGCACCACAAGTGAAGTCAGTTTCTCTTGCTGGTTGAAATAGATCTTTAAGATCAGGGAGCTGGTTTTACCTGTCATTTAAAAAGCTGAGTTTCCTGTTTTATGGTTTGGGGAGTGAACTCAGGGGCTCATGCATGCCAGGCTGGTGCTCCACATTTTTTATCTCGCAATACCTGTTCTTTCTCTGCCAGCTTCCCCTAGTTCTCCTTAGTGACTACAGGGTGAAGGCCGAGCAGTCTTCTCTTTCTTGTCTGCTCCTTTTCACTTCCAGATGCATTTTTAAAACTATATAAATGACTGCCCTCACAAATGATTGTCTGACAAAACTTGTATTCAGCCTGGCCCTTTTGTCAAATGAACCCTCATCTGAAAAAACAAAATGAACTTTGAAGACTTTTTTCTCCATGCTGTACAGTACAGGAGAGGATCCCAGCCTAAAAGGGGGAACTGGCCTGGGGTCAGAAATGCAGTCTGTGTAGAGACAATGGTGGACACAAGATTGGCCCTGCCTTGAGTGCAATTCACACCTGAGGATGCTGCTCACCAAGACAACTACAGTAGTGATGGCTGATACATTTGAAGAATGAAAAGAAGACAACTTGTGTAAACAAGCACTATGCACAGATGTTTTTGCAGTAATGTCCTTAAGTCTGCACTGTTCAGCAAAGAGCCACCAATGGCTGCCAAATGATGGCTATACAACTAGCACACCTGAGGAGCTGGAGTTCGATATGAACCCAGCTTCAAGTAGTCACTGGTCAACAATGGGCACTGCATGTAGTCTGGCCATTTCAAGTCAGAGGTGTGAAATGTAAGCTGTAACCTTAGGCACATTGCCTACCATCAGAACATCACATCTTGCATCTTACTGCAGCATGGCAGGAATAGGCATTGCTCCTAAACCACATTGTGGCTGTCTGTGACCTCAGATAGGTAAAGCAACTGGCACAACCTGACAGTTTATCTAGAGTTGCGGAAATCTGTATGCTAAGATTACAGCCTCAACCTGCACCTGTACCTGTTGTACACTTACTAGGCCAGGAATGACTTCAAGGTCCAGGTGGTGCTGACTCTTGAGGATCAGTGTTTTTGCTTAGCACCAAAAATCTGTAGGCTTATTTGTCTAGTCCCTAGAGAGACTTGGCCTCTTCAACACTGGAGTAGGCCTGTAAGATATATGGAGCCACACTCAGCTAAGACAGTACTCTGCTAAGGAAGCTGCTTGCTGGCTAAGGAAGCTACTTGCCAGTCAGTTTGGAGGCCAACTTGGATTGAACTCACACCTACTGTTTAAAACACGGGGGGGGGGAGGGCACAAGGAAAGATGGGGGTGACTTGAGTTTTTGGGTAGGCACCATTTAGAATAGGCCTAAAGACATATTTTACATTTTTAGTCTATTCTCTGAGGAGACAAAAGCTGCTCCTTCAAACAGTTGCCTATATAGATTTCCGTCCCCCTCATCAACCTCCCCACGCCAAGCAACTAGCCAGGTAACAACAGAACTAGGCTCTCTTCCTCAGGTCCTGTCCTCCAGGTGGCTATCCTAGACCTAGCCCCCTGTCCTCTCCACTTGCTCATATTCATCCTTTGATCAAGGGGTCTTTCTGGGTGCAGGCTATCTTGGTTACAGAGCTCAGCTCCTTGGCCTTGCTCTGCCTCACTTGGTGTTAGTTCCAACACATGTTAACATATTTCTTTCTAGTCTGAGGCATATAGACAAAAAAGTCTATCCAACACTAAGCAACATCATCTTAAACCTCCCTCCTAAGAAGGCTCGAAGCTTGCTCTTCAGCCTTCCTTTACATGCTGCTGACCTGCAACAGACTTAGTGCAGTAGCTCTCCCTTGATGAGATTCATTTCTGTCATAAGACAGCTTCCCATGTCCTCTTGTACTCCCACAGGCAATGTTACCCTTCCCTTGGGCAGGGAGCATACACAGGCTTGTCCATGAGGCTGAAACTACCTTTTCTGAGCCACAATCCAGCTGTGTAGCAGCTGTATCCATATATATCTTCCAGGGCAACCTGAAAAATGATTAGGTATCCACAGTCCTTTCTAAACCAACAGTCCTTTTTGCCTGCATATACTCAAACTACCTGAATTCACTTGGTGCTTCTTCCCATGTGATCATACAACTCATCCTTTTCTTACTAGCTCCAAAAGGGAGCTAGGCTGTTCCATGGCCTCTGCATACGTCTTGCAATATCTTGGTCTAGTCACAACACTAAGCAGGGATAGCTTGACCAAGGCCACAAGCCTGGCCCAAGCATCTCCAATCTCAAGAGCATACCTGTGTGCCCCTGGTCAGAGTTAGCTATGAATTACCACTTCTTTTGCCAATAAACCTTTGCCTCTTGTATCCTCACACCAGTCAGACAGACATCTATATTGAAACTTTATTACAAAATTATAAAGCAGATCTCTGTAACAAAAAATACACATTTGGGGTTGCTTTAACACCCAGTTAAGTCTGAGAATCATAAGCCACTTGAAGTAACATTCATATCCAAAAGATTTCAAATTTATATACAACAGATATCGCATACTAATTCCTTTACTGCTTTTTAGTTTGGATCCAACAATTCCAATGTATTGGAATCAGCTGTCCCAAGTCCTTTAAAACAAGTCTCAACTGAAATCTCAGAGCAATCACAGCAAAAGCCATAAAATAATTGGAAGAATTAGGTGTAACTAAGACCAAGGATCCATGAGAGACAGGAGAGGATTTAAGGATTAAAAAAAAATCAGATTTTCTAAATGGGCTAAAGACTAACTGGAATGGGATCTTGGAACTCCCAATTTTTATTTGGAGTAATAAAAACCATTACCCTCCCCCCAAACAGGTGGTTTGACACCCTTTCCCCCCCCCCAATTGAAACCTAAATTGAGACTTAAAAAGGCAAGTTCTTTAAATGAGTAAATGTCAGTTCTAATTCTTACAATGGTTATTAGCCAGCCATCAGTATATTATTTTCAGTTCCTATCTAGGAGTAAGTTAAGGCCTCAGCAGAGAAAACAAGGAGAGATCCAGCGTCTGCCTTGAGGTTATTGCTAGGTCTGAGCTGCACATAGACCTGCTTCACAGTGTACTTAAGAGTAGCTGAGCACATAATTCTTAGCTAAACTGGAGGCACTGTAAACTATAGTACTTATCTGTCCAGCAGAAGGGCTAAAGGTGGAGTCCTTAGAGGGAAGTTTGATTTGCCAACACTTCCCAAGGCTACTGCCCAGAATTAGACCATCCAGACTTCCTGTAGGTGTTGAGGTAAGCAGAGTAGGGTTCTGCCCACAACTATCCCTAAAGGTGTTTGGGGTTTGATAGAAAACTTAAGCATTCTAGTGGATCCTCCTTAGGTTTCCTTCTGCCTTCCGGAGTCCTAACAAGCTCTTTCTGCACTCATCTCAGTTACAGTGTATGGGAGGGGTAGGGGGTCTGTCAAAGTCTGCTCAAGTGTTAAGGGTTTTCATAGTCTGTCCACTGGGAATGGGAGTAAACACAGCTTTTCTGATGGTATATGTTTTGTGCTTTGTTGAGCTTTTCCAGTGAACTATAGAGCCTTCAGCCACTCTCTTCAGTGGTGGTAGAAAGACTCTAAGCATCACCTATTCACGGTTATAGGGCCTCCAGGCCTGCCCCCCAAATCAATCGGCTGAGAAAGGAATGAAATTAGGATTTTTTTTGGGGGGGTCAGTTGTGGGGCTTGAATTCTGGGCCTGGGTGCTGGCCCTGTGCTCTTCAGCTCGGGCAAGTGCTCTACCACGTGGGCCACAGCACCAATTCTAGTTTTCTAGTAGTTAATTGGAGATAGTTTCACAGACTTTCCTGCCAGGGCTGCCTTTGAACTGTGATCCTCAGATCTCAGTCACCTGAGTAGCTAGGATTATAGGCATGAGCCACCCGCGCCTGGCTAGGAATTTTTCTTTTTCTTTTTTTTTTTGTCGGTTATGGGGCTTGAACTCTGGGCCTGGGAGCTGTCCCTCAGCTCTTCAACTCAAGTGTAGCACTCTACCACTTGAGCCACAGTGCCACTACAATTTTCTGAGTGGTTTATTGAAGATAAGAGTCTTGCGGGCTTTACTGCCGGGGCTGGCTTTGAACCGTGATCCTCAGATCTCAGGCTTCTAAGTAGGATTACAGGCATGAGCCACCAGCACCTGGCTCTGAGATTAGGAATTTCTGGCTGTCTGCTAACAGGCAGAATCTGGTATCATTTAGTATTTTCCAAACCTTTGGCTTTACTGTTTCTCCAGGAAATTCCTCATGGTTAGAGAAAAGCAAAGTTCTGTGCACAAGTCCCTGCCTAGAGTGAGACCAACATTTTGCCTGTTGGAAAAGGAGGCTTAGAAGGCAAAGCAGCAAGTCACCCAGTGCTTCCTTTCCTCATAAATCCTAAATTACAGATGGGGCAAAGTCAGCCCCAAAAGCAGCAGCAGCAGAGATCAGCTTGCAGGTGGCTGGATTTCCCGGCAGTTGGGTGCTTCGTTGGTTCCTAAGAGCAGGTCAGGAGTCTGGTGGCTTCCAACACCAGCACTCAAGGAAGTGATGCTTGACAACTGAGGCTTTTCTATAGCACCCCTGTGTCATTTTCACCACCATTAAGTTTACTGATCCAAATTCTGTCCTAAGAACCACTGAAAAGTTCACATTTTTTTTGGTCCAAAGAAACAAGTGGATTTTAAGCATTGTAGCAAGAGACTTTAAATGTATGTTAAAGCACAGAGACCAGAAATTTAAATCCTAATGTCTGGAAGGGAACCATCTCTAGCAGGATTTCTGATTGGTGAGATAGGAAGGTGTGCTTAGGGAGCTAGTAGGGCACAGGAGGAAGCGTGCCTAGGTTCTCGGAGGGAAACGTGGTCCAAGCTCTGGAACATCCTCTGTCACTGAAACGGTCTTTTACCCAGGGGATCTGCACCAGTTCCCACTGGCCCAGAGCTCAGCTCATCAAGAGCCATGCCTCCATGGCAAGATAGGTATGCCTAGAGATAACATGGCATCTTTGCTTTCCCTGGTCTTGGGAACACTGCAGAATTTCTTCTGATAGTCTGCCTCTACACAAGCTGACCACCCTGAACTCAGACACCCTGGGCTACATCCTATAAGGCACTGTAGAAGCTGATGCGAACCCTCAGGACCGGAAGACATGCACTGCGCGGATCACATACTGCCGGCAGATGGGACATTCATTCATGCGCTTGCCACACTTGGTACAGGTCACCATGTGGCCACACTCCAGCAGAACACAGTCAATAGGTGAGTCCATGCAGATCTTACATAGGTTCTCCTCCAGGCCAGATGGCACTGCTGCTCCTGCACAAATAGGGCAGAAAGGGACAGAGGGAACTGTCAGTATACAGAGCAAAATGTGGGAGAGAAAAAATGCACCCCCAAACCCATACATTTTCCCCCAACTAGAGCTCTTCCAAGAACACTCCCTCAGTAACTAGCTCCAGTTGCTTCTGTAATTCATACCTCCTGCAAGGACTCTGATTTAAAGTACATCATTTGCAGATCAGACTCATGCCAGAACATGAGAACTAAGGCAAAGCCCTCAAAGCTGAAAAACCATTTTCAGACAATTGAGGCTGTAATATACTGAGTGAGTGGTACTTAAGGGACTCATTATCCCCTGAGGCAGAACATGCAGAAAAGATAAAAGTGATTCAAAAAAGTTTAGATATAAACAGAACTATAATGAATGGTTCATTAACAATCACAAGGCTTATCTATAAACATAGTCCCATTGTAATATAGCCCAGGAACAAGAAGGCCTCTGGTATCCCATAATCTCCTCAAGGGAAGAGCATGAAAGACAGGCTGCTTCCTCTTCTGTTCCTACAACCATAGACCTTTATTCATAACCCCTGATGCTTACCACATTGCATTATAATTTTGGCTTACCCATTTATCTCCCCAGTGGACTTAAGAGCTCCTTAATTTATCATATTCAGTCATTTTCTACAATCATATATTTAACATCTGTTGTATGCTCTGAAGTCAGATATTCATCTTTGAATCCTTGAAACACTGGTCACCTGGTACATATTCTCTAAATGTCTGATAACACTCTCAAGATAATAACAGTATTTACTCAAAACTGTGGATATGAACTTACAGGACCTGGGAAATATCCTTATTACTCATTTCCTAGATGAGGCAAGGGGCCAAAGAGTTAAGTGGCTTGCCCAAGGGAACACAGCTGCTGAGATGGTTCATGGCAGGTATGACCTTGGTAGAGACTATCAAGATGGTATTAAATGCCCTGTGCACATTTATTAAGACTCCCATGAATAATTGTTAACTGGCTTGTGCCAATAGAGGGATAAGACAGCATCCTAGTTCCGCCACACAGAAAAATCTTCATGTTCAATAGCCTAGCTATCAAGTGTCTCAAAATGCAGCCTAAACCAGACAGCCATAACCAGATCTGGCCACACAGCAGTCCCTTCTACCAGCTGGGAATTCCCCTAATCTGTTGCACCCATTCTTTCTCTTCCTCTTTTTCTGAACTACTCAAAAAGTGAACAAATACTTCCCCCAGATGGTGAGCTGGCTGTAAATGGGAAATAAAACCTATTTATCTCCTTTGTGGCTATAATCGGGAAGAATTGAAAGTATACAGATATTAAGATAAACTGGAGCAATGTATAGAATTGTAATTATAACTTAGGAGTTATCAATAAACCTTCAACCTCAGAGGGTCAGCAGTCTCCCAGGGAATGAGAGAAGGCAGGCCCCAAGTAAGCATCCTGATCTTGGTATCATGTACCTCCACGTGATCACAGAGAATGAAGGAAAGCTCAACTCTGCTCCATTCTGAGTAGGAGACCATTTCATTAGGGAACAAATTTGAAAAGTCTTCTGGAAAAGTTCTGAAATACTTTGTTGGCTCCAACACTATTGAGAATGATCTTTCTTGGAAAGAAGTCCCAGAAAATGTACAGCGTATTTTAGAACATTCAGCAGTATGTGCTAGGGACTTAACACTAGTCTGTCCTTAGCACCCAGGTGGGTATATGGCAGCAGAAAGCTAACTACGTAACACCTTAGCAGCCACTGTCTCCTAAACAGCTCTGCTGCCGCTTCCTTAGGGCTCTCATAGGTCCCCACCCTATACTATACATGGTTCCTATGCCACAGCAGCCCCATCGTGCCCATCAGCAGCCTGTGCCAAAGATGTTGAGAAATTGGTTCTGTGAGTTTCTGCATACCCTTCCTCTGGAAACTCATATGCTCACAATTAGATTGTGAACCTCATAGGGCTGAAGGAGAGAAGGATAGAACTAAGCCTAAGCCCCTTCTCCAACAATTACCTACCATTTTGGTCTTCAGCACCACCCACTGAAAAGGAAAGAAAAATGCATGAATGTGTGACAGGGTGATGACATAGGAGTAGCCGCCTGCTACCAGCCATTTCTGCTGGGATCTGGGCTTGGCTAGACTCTGGATAGACACTGTGCTCTCTCTTGTTCTACATGCTGAGGACTCACATGGAGCACCTGTGCTACATCTGCTCTGCTCTTTAAAAAAGCCAGTCCCCTGGTCTGCACACACAAAACTGCCAACTGCAAGGGCACTGAAGATTCCTTTCCTACTGCCATGGAAGCCAGCATTAAAATCAAGGAAGAATGGAAAATCTGGCTGTTTTAGTGAGTCCAGGATTCTGAATAAAATCCCCACTTACAGTCAATACTGTTGTTCCTCAGATCCTTACAACTCTAGGGAGATTCCTCAGACAACCCCAAAGGGAAGACTGAGACTCTGGCAGCAGGTTTCAGTCTATAATGTAAGTGGTCAAGTGCCTACCTAGCAAGCACAAGACCCTTAGTTCAAACCCCACCACTGTACCACCACCTCAAAAAAAAAATATCATGATCAATAATGAGGACATAGTCTAAAGCATTTCTTGCCAAACCCCAGACACAGATATTATTCTGGCCATCTCATAAAAATGGTAGCATGTAAGATGCCTTGGGAAATGAAGGTAGAGCCCAGGTACAGGCAGAACAGATACTTCCTCCATGCACCAGGATTCACTTTTCAGTCTCCCGAGTTTAGAATCAAGTTTTGTTAATGAGTGGAGGACAGAAGAGCCCTGAATGTAGACCTGTTCAAATCTGGGCTCCACAAAGAGAGGCTATGTTGCTGAAGCTTACTGCATGGGCAGCTCGGAGGAGTAAATGCCTAGCCCAGTCTTGGTATTTAGCCCTAAGAGGCAGATTGTTAGATGGTGCAAATACAAGTTGACTGCTCCCACTGCTAAGTACAGGACTGACTGTAGTCAATGTCATCTCATTTGGAATGACAGCAGACGCTCCAGAGCTCTGTGCAGCTGCCACCTGGACAGCCTCGCCCCTCACCCAGGTGTTGCAGTCCTTTCTGATCCTTGTACAGCCGAGTCACTCTCTCCATCAGTTCCCACTTCTCACAGCAGCCCTTGTAGTTGACGAAGTTGCGAGCCAGGATCTCTTTCAGCTGCCGGACCGTCAGGCCTTCGATATCTTCCAGGTGTGTCAGGTCAGACAGAGAGGCCCTTCGGCCTGGGACAAAACCATCCTCTGAGTCAATGGACTGTAATGGCAAAGACATGATTAAGGGTTTCAGCTCTTGTGCACCCTTAACCTGTCTCCAAAGACCCCAAAACATCCATCACACCTCAAGAAGAGAGAATAGAGATAGAGTACGTGGCATGATGCTTGACAATGCAAAAAAGACTGATCTTTTCTTGACCTACCGTTTGCTGCTGAAGCAGAAACACTGGTTGGGCCCTATGTAGGAATCCTCACTCCTCTACTAAAAACTAAGTAAGTAATACAATTTGGCAAGTTGCTTCCCTCTTTTAAGCCTGTCCGCCCCTCCATGAAGGAGAGCAGTCCAACCACACAGACTTCCTGTAAAGATGAAAGGTGAGGGCACAGCAGCCAGCAGGTATGGAGCTGGCCCTTCCTATTTGGGAGAGTTTGCACCTCTCCCTGGCAGATGTTCCTCCACACACGGTCCCACCATCCTTCATGGTCCTAGTGACTGTTCTAGTCCCTGCCTGGGACCTAAAACTGTCTCATCTGGCCCCCTTCCCATCACAAGGCTACTGCTGTCCTAGAAGCAGAAGACAAGCACAAGATTTTCACAGCTGCACCAGAGCCTGCCCACTGCAGCTCTCAAGACTGGGTTAAGAGGCTCCCCAGGTCCACATGGCAACCTCACACCTGCTCACACACAGGACAGCACTCAAGGTTAAATTGGAATGCTGGCACAAAGTCCCCAGAAAAGGGGATTCCCAAATTGTTACCACAGCCTGGGTTCTCTGTCCGCCTGAGTCTGTAAAGGCATAGGAACGCTCCAAGCAAAGAACAAAGACAAAGGCCCAGACCTGAGCAGAGGCCCCACCTGGGTCTCATCCTCAGCAGGTGTTCTGGCTGTGCTCTGCAGGTAGACGGGATCCTCGTGGTCCTGAGACACATGGCCATTGGCCTGTGGGAAGAGAAAGGTGCCATCACATCTATAGAGATGCTTCAATGATTTGCATGGCATGGGCCTCTCTCAGCTCACATAAAGTCCATACCCATTCTCCCACAACTGGAGGCAACCCAAAAGCATCACAAACACCTACTCTAATACCACTATCAGGTACAAACAATATAAACAGATTTCAGAGGATACACAGCTAGCTGCCTCAAAATAAAAGTCCACTAACTCTGGTGACCAACAGACTGGCCATAGCTGTCACCCACTGTCAGTGTGTGCTCAGCTTGAACTTTTGAGGTAAAAGGACAATAGCTATAGCTATCCCACTGCTGGACTGCTCTCTATCATCATGTTTGTTTCCACCACAGACTCCAAAGTGTCCTCTCTACAACTTCTACTCATTGCCCCTGTTCCGCCCCTTCAGACCAATGGCCGTGGGTTTTCCAAACAGCTTCTACCATGTTCTCCTCCTCAAGCTTCATGTTCCCTGGCTCCTCACCCAACTCCAAGGGGACAGTTTCCAGACCCTCACCTTAGTCCCGCTCCAGCCTGGTCACTGCTCTAATCAGCACAGCATATTCTAAGAACTGTCTGGAAACCTAGTTCCATTTTGTCATCATAATTTAAGAATCTATGCCTAAGACCACAGAACATACATGTCTCAGCTTGAGGAGTTCCACTCTGCTCAGGCTTCTAGCTTCTCAAAGGAGCCTGCTGGGTGCCCCTTTATGAGTTTCTGCCTTGTAAGCTTCTAGTCTCACAACCATTTATCCACAGAGCCCTAACTTGTGCACCTGAGTTCACAGACCTTCCCACCAGATCTTTACTGGCGTGCCAGTAAAGAGACCTGTGGGCTCTAGCCCTCATCAAGAGAGCCAAACAACTACAATGGAAATGAAACACCAAAGGCCAACGTGATGGCAAAAAATGAACGTGTGTATGGATGCATCTGAGAAAGTGTCTCCTCCATCAATATGCCTAGTTCTCTTAGCTTTGGGCAGATGTGGTGACGCCCACTATCTCCTTGCTGTCCCCTTAGAGTCAGTTCAGAAGCTAAGCTGTGTCTGAGTAGATAGCTTTTCCCTAGAGAAAGAAACTGCATGCTATAAAAGCATGCTCTTGCTTCCCAACTAGCCCATAGCTACATCAAAACCCACTGTATCTGTACTCTGGTATATTCGCTGAACACACTTCCTTAACAACTGTTGCTAGGGCATTAAAGGTAAAGGACAGAACCCTAGTGCAATGAGCACTGAGCTACTTTGCACTCTGGGTGTAGCTTACTTGTGGACTTAACAGACACCTTGCACCAGTTACCTAACTTCCCTATGCCTGTTTTTTCTGCTTGCAAAAAAACGTAGATCTCACCAGAATAGAAGAAGTGGGTTAATGCAAAGATCCTCTGAAAACCACAAAGGAAAGAACTCACTAATCTCTAGTATATACTGTGACCTGTAGGTGCAAGCCAGAAATTTCTGGTTAATGACAAGAATTTATCATCTCTTGTTGAAAAGTCTACCTGAAGATTTTGTAGGGAAAAATAATTTTGAGTTCCTTTCCTGGTTCCCCATAGGCAGAGAAGTGATCTAAAAACCAAGCAAAAAGAGGGATGTGTATAGAACAAGAGATGAAACCTAAGAACTAGAGCTTAGGAAAGTGTGAAGGCCCAGCTAGGGAGAAAATCATGCTCAAGTCAACCAGGGGGTTAAATGGCTTCTCCCAGTTAAGTTATGCCATCACGCTGGCCTTTATGCCTCAGTGCCTGTCAAGAGCTGAACTGGGCCCAGTCCTGGCAAAGAAAGTGATCATAAACAAGAGCCTCAGCTGTCCACGCCATGTGTGGGGACAGACAACATGAGCACTTTTTCAGCCCTGAGCAGCTCCCAACTCTTCAAACATATTGCAGTGTTCATGGCTTTCCTCCTTCCAAGCAAGATCAAAAGCCCTATTTGCCAAGCAATGGTGGCTCATGCCTGTAATCCTAGCTACTCAGGAGGCTGAGATCTGAGGATCACAGTTCAAAGCCAGCCTGGGCAGGAAAGTCCATGAGACTCTTATCTCCAGTAAACCACTAGAAAACTGGAAGTGGTGATGTGGCTCAAGCAGTAGAGCTCTTGCCTTGAGCTGAAGAGTGCAGTGACAGCATCCAAGCCCAGAGTTCAAGCCCCACAACCGACCAAAAAAAAAAAAAAAGCCCCATTTCACTGGAGTAAGCTCCAAGTTTGCCCTAGGTGACCAAGGATCAGTGACAAAGATGGATGTGGGGCTAGGAATGCAACTCAGTGATGGAGTGTTTGCCTAGCATGAATGAGGAGGGTTAGATACCAAATGCAAAAGGCAGGAGGGATTTGGAGTCCAGATCTTGTAGCCTTGATTCATGTCCCACCCTTGTCCAACCCCTCTACACAAATGGCAGTTAGGTGTTCCTTAGATCTGTGTGACACCACCACTCCTGACTTCACCCAAATCCAGGAGCACCTCTATGTGGTTACACCTGGGCTGTCTGAGGACAAAGACGGTGTGTTACTCACTGCTATGCTCCTATGCTTGAGTTGGCAGTGGTCAGTGCACTGTTCTAATCTTACCTTTTCCAGGCCTCCTGGGGTTACAAGCAGCTTAGAGTTTAACATGTCCAGCCAGCCCCTGCTGCTTTCACACAGTGACCAGAAGGGCATCAGGGTCCTGTCACAATGTCCCCCCTCCCCCACATTGTCCTCTATTCCTATGTGCCTTATTACCAAGCATCCCAATCCAGCTAAAGACAACTGGGCAAATGGGAGTTAGGCACAAATTTGAACAGAGCTAAATTTGAAGTTGATGGTGAGCACTTTCAAAACATTTCTAACCAATAACTTTTGTTTTAATGTCTAAAATATGGAAGTATTAGCCAACAAGACTCAAAAACATAGTAGCAAGCATATTCTCTCTGAAGAAAGCAAGGTATGAGCCTGACATCAGGAAAGATCCTGCATTGGCAGGCAGAAGAGACTTCACCTCACACCAACTCCCACAATGCTGCAGGAGTGGAAACGGGCCCTTCAGCCTGCACTGGGGTGCAGGGACTACACGTGGACCCATACCTGGTTTTCCTGAGCCTGGGCTTGGGGACCGGAGGTGGCCTGTGTAGGTGAAGAAGGGAGGCTGGGTGAGGTAGCTGGTACAGTGCTGGTGTGAGGCTGGTTCAGGAAGGCCTGCTGCTCAGGGAAGTCTGGGGACAAGGTGGGAGCACGAGTCCTGTCCTCCTCGGAGATTATAGGCTGCTGGCCCAGCACCAAGAACACCAGCTCCTCTTTCTCCCGGCACATTTCAGTGGAGATATCGTGGAGGCTGAGGTAGTCCCTGAGGTCCTTCACCTTCATCTTCATGAGCTCCTCCCGCTGAAAGGATGTGGCTCGAAACCGTTGGCAGAGAAGGCAGAGGCGGGGCCCATTCCCCTCCTGGCTTGAACAGGTCATGCAGAAATTTTTCTTACAGTCCAAGCAGGTCTGCTGCTTAGAGCAAGAAGTAGAGGAAAGCAGTCAGCCTGAGAACAAGGCAGAGCAAGATAGAGCGACAGGACTGCCACATCGGGCACTCACCTTACTAGGTTTTTCCTGAATCCAAGGATACCAGCTACTCTGCAGATTTCAGACTTCATGCCTGTAACTGTGTGTCCATGTACAGAACACTTGAAATTCATAATTTAAGGCTTACTTAATAAAGAGAATTAGGTTACTAACTACTACTATTACCAGCTTGGCATCAAAATGCTCTGCATTTTTCTTATGTCTTCCTCAACTTCTTGCAGTAGCACACTTTGGAATCGGCCTCCCTGTCTGTACAGTGGACTGGTAACAGTACTTACCTCAGAGGGTTGCTATGAGAAAAAGAATGCATTGAAAATTAACTGACAGAGCCAGGTGCCAGTGGCTCACACCTGTAATCCTAGCTACTCAGGAGGCTGAGATCTGAGGATCACAGTTCAAAGCCAGCCTGGGCAAGGAAAGTCCATGAGACTCTTATCTCCAATAAGCCACTAGAAAAAACCGGAAGTGGCACTGTGGCTCAAATGGTAGAGCACTTGCCTTGAGATGAAGAGCTGAGGGATAGCGCCCAACCCAGAGTTCAAGCCCTACAACCGACGAAAAGAAAAGAAAATTAACTGACACGTAATTGTAACCCCTCTGTACAGTGTGTTCACAAAAAATAAAAATTAAAAAAAAAATTAACTGACACATAGTGAATCCTCAGTGTTAGCTGTCTTAAAGCTGAAGCTAAGAATCAGGATCCAAACCCTAAACTCTCATTCTTCTTGTGTTAGTGCTGAGGAAAGCAAGCAAATGTATGACAATTACAGTTTTTGTCTGTTCTTTTGTGTATGTGTGGTGCTAGAAGTTAAACCCAGGGTCTTGTAAATGCTAAACAAGCACTCTACCACTGAGCTGTATACCCCCCAGCCCCTGCTATGTGGCTTCAGTTGGCCTTGAAATTCATATGCAATCTAGACTGGTCTCAAACTCCCAGTTCTTCTCCTTCTGCCTGGCTTTTACAGGGATTATAGGCCTGGGTTGTTAATATTCAGTTTAATGAGGGGCTACTTCATGTTAAAAGTATGCCTGGCTTGTCATTTTTTTCCCTAAGCACCCTGGCATTAGTGTTCTTCCCAGGTTCACAGAGGAAGCATCCAGAGATGAGGGAGATCAAGTACTACAATAATGGCAGAGCTGGAACTCACACAGAATGTCTGAGTGCGCTGCCCCACAATCACGGTCTTCCCTCTTGACCACGCTGCCTCATGCAGAACCATGAAGGCAGCCAGCAGGACTGAATTGGGAGTCTGGCTTTCCAGCTCCCAAGCCAGTATCTTGTCCACAGGGGCTGATACCAGGCTCTCCTACTCCAGCAAGTGCTGGGAAGTAGGTGGTGCATAGGGCATTAGCAAAATAAATATTTACACAGTACAAGAGGGCGCCCTGCTCTCCTCTGTGAAAGCACACAGTGTCTCAGTTAAGCGACAAGTGCGCCTGACCAGCAAACTGGCACTGCCTGGCAGCAGCCACTCCCACAGTCACAGACGGCACACCAAGATTGCACAACCCACAGCCTGCCCACGAACAGTGACATCTGGCTGAGTGCAGTTCCAACCAGTGGCAGGTCACCCTCCCAAGGAAGATAATTCCTGAGCACCCTGGGATTGTCCTCAAGGGCACCCTCCCTGATCCTCTAAAGAAGTTGGAAGCTTTTCACGCTGCGGTGACTTAAGTACTGACCTACATGTTTCTTCTCCCTCCTTTCTAAATATGGAAAGCTGTTCGAGCTATAAAAGGATGCCCCAGAGACTTAGGTTCTCATAGGCAAGACCACAGAAGCCTGGTGGGGGCTGCAGGGGAAGTGTGCAAAGTCAAGACAGTTCTGGTCAGAACTTGTCTATGTGTCACTCACACAGGGGAGGACATGCTTCTCATCCAGTGTAGGTTATTACAGCTTAGAAAGCATGGTGAAGGGCACACAAAGCCCCCATTTCTCCTCCCAGCAGTAACCAGACTGTAGCTGTACGGACTAGACGGCAAAAGGATTTGCAGCTGTGCCAGCACCAGAAGGCTCGGCAGGCAGCAACCATACACGTGGAAATGGGTGTTTGGAGTTCATTCACATGAAAAGCTTTCCTGTGGGGAGTGTGTTTAAGATAGCTAGCAGTGAAATGAAGAGGCCTCATAAAGCTGTGGTCCTAGCATGGAACAATACTTAAGTCAAGGCAGTCTGACAAGACCTAGCTTGGCCCAATTATAAAGTTAGCATTGCTCAATTGGTCAAATCCAAACCACTCTTTTCAGAAAGAGAGAGAGAGAGAGAGTGGTGTGTGTGTGTGTGTGTGTGTGTGTGTGTGTGTGTGTGTGTGTGTGTCTTGTTGGATGTGAGGTCAAAATGCAAAAACAGCCACACTAATGGCTCCTGCCTATATCCTTGTTACTCAAGAGGCTGAGTTCTGAGGACCATGATTTGAAGCCAGCCCAGGGAGGAAAGTCCTTAAGACTCTCATCTCCAGTTAACCATCATAAAAAATATTAAGCTGGGCACTGGTGACTCATACCTGTAATCCTAACTACTCAGGAGGCTGAGATCTGAGGATCATGGTTCAAAGGCAGCCCAGGCAGGAAAGGCCATGGTGCAATTCTTATCTCCAATAAACCACCAGAAAACTGGAAGTGGCACTGTGGCTCAAGTGGTAGAGCACTCACCTTGAGCTGAAGAGCTGACAGCACTCAGGCCCAGAGTTCAAGGCCCACAACCAACAACAACAACAACAAAAAAAAAGCTTAAAAGTGAAAGTGTAGTTCAAGTGGTAGAGAGATAGCAAAAAGAAAAAGCCAAAGGGCAACACCCAAGTCCTGAGTTCAAGCCCCAGTACTAACAGAAAAATATATACATACATGCACATGTGCACAAACACATACACATAAACACACACACACATACATACATGACGCAAGACAACTAACCAGCTTCTGTGTGCCCCTGCCCACAGGGGCTGTGAAGTAAGCAAGCCTCTGAGACATACCCTAAAGAAGTAGCATAGGGATAGGGCTGGGAAGGTGGCTCAGTGGTAGAGTGCTTGCCTTGCATGTATGAGGCCCTGGGTTCAATTCCTCAACACCACATACACAGAAAAAAAAAAGTCTAAAGAAGTAGCACAGGGCTTAAGGCTAAAAAGCCCCTCATGCAGTGGCAAGAGAAAAAAAGGAAAGAGGAAAGCCATTAACAAATGGGGCAGAACAAGCAAAGGAAATGCACCAAAGGCATCAGACCAACAAGACAGCAAGAAAGATGAATTAGAGAGCCACGTGCCTGCGGAGATGCCAGATGTTTTCAAACACTGACATCCAGCCAAAGCTGACAGTGGCGCCTCAAGGAGGCACAACTCCTCAGGGACTCAGTGTGGGGCGCTTCACTGGCTCCCCTTGACCCATCGGAAATTCCTTTCCCCTGGCAGCCTAGCCTATGTGCTCTAGCACTGCTAAGGTCCACCTTAAGACAAGAGACCTTAGCAGGACTCTTGCCTGCCAGTCTTAAGGATTTTTATATACACCTCAGCAGAAAGTGGACACTCATAGAAAGGTGACAGTCATGTTTTATTCTCTTGCTCCTCAGTTATTTTTCCATTCTGAGAACTGAATACCACGCCCAGGCAAGCACAACCTCCCCACCCTTTGCAAACTGGCCCAACTAAAGAGTCTGGCTGCCAGAGCCCCTCCCAGGCCCTCAGGGTCACTGCTTCAAGATAGGTAGAGAGGGCTGGGAAGGTGGCTCAGTGGTAGCGTGCTTGCCTTGCATGCCTGAGGCCCTGGGTTTGATTCCTCAGCACCACATAAGCAAAAAGAAAAAAGCTGGAAGTGGCGCTGTGGCTCAAGTGGTACAGCGCTAGCCTTGAGCTGAAGAGCTGAGGGACAGCGCCCAGGCCCAGAGTTCAGGCCAACGACCGGACCCAAAAAAAAAAAAAAAATAGTGTACAGAGGGGTTACAGTTACATGAGTAAGGTAATGAGCACATTTCCTATTAAGCATTGTTTCCTCCTCCAACCCCTAATTTTTAAAACAACTTGTCCATTTGTTCACCTGCCCAAGGAAAATAAAGTGGGTCAGTGGCTGTCAAGGGTTTCCTGAAGGAAACAAGGTAAGAAGCTGATCTGCAATGCAATTCCCAAACTATCTTACTTGATCACCGAAAACTAAGGCAAAAAAGGCACCAAGGTTTTCATCTAAATGTCTGGATTTTAATTTTGATAATTTTTTTTTTTGGTCGGTTGTGGGGGCTGGACTATGGGCCTGCCTGGGTGCTGTCCCTGAGCTCTTCAGCTCAAGGCTAGTGCTCTACCACTTGAGCCACAGCGCCACTTCTGGCTTTTTCTGCTTATGTGGTGCTGAGAAATCGAACCCAGGGCCTCATGCATGCAAGGTAAGCACTCTACCACTGAGCCACTTCCTAGCCTAAACTGTCTGGATTTTAATTAACTATTCACCAAGGTGGTTCCAAGACAGCTACATCATGCAACTAATACATTTATAGGAATTCCATTGTATGAGACTTTACAAATACCTCTAAATTGCCTAATTAAAATGCCCCAGGGGCTGGAAAGGTGGCTCCGTGCTAGAGTGCTTGCCTTGCATGCATGAAGCCCTGGGTTCGATTCCTCAGCACCACATAAGCAGGGAAAAAAAAGCCAGAAGTGGTGCTGTGGCTCAAGTGGTAGAGTGCTAGCCTTGACCTGAAGAGCTGAGGGACAGCGCCCAGGCCCAGAGTTCAGGCCCCACGACCGGACCCCCCCCCAAAAAAAGCCCCAAACCTCAGAAATGCTTTATTTGTTTTTTTGTTTTGACTTTTGTTTTCCAGGTACAATATGTGAATTCAGGGCCTTGTACTTGCTAAGCTGGTGCTCTTCCACTTGAGCCACACACACACAAACCTTTTTTTGCTTTTAGTTACTTTTAAACAGAATCTCATATTTATGCCTAGAAACAGCCTGGGAGGGGCTGGGAAGGTGGCTCAGTGGTAGAGCGCTTGCCTTGCATGC